CCCCCCCCCCCCCCCATCACTCTGAATCCTCCGCCATTGATTGGCATTCTCTCATTCTGCCACACGCCGTACGTCTCACCTTCAGAGCGCTCTTCTGCCCGCTGTCCCTGCGGTAACACTCCAGCACTTTGCCGTTGATGCCCAGGCCCAGCACCTGCTTGGATACCTTGTAGTCGTCCGTGATGGCATGGCGTTTTAGATCGAACTTGAAGGGCTGCGCCGGTGGGCGCTCGCTGGCCGGCTCCGGCCCGTTGGCATTCTCCTCCTCCATGGCAGTGCCCCCCCTCAAGGCTCTCTGGCTGCCGCAAGCCTCATGGCGAGAGCTCCTAGGCTGAAGTCCAGGTGACGGTGACACCAGCTTTCCACAGTGGATCGGCTCAGTAGGGAGGAGGAGGAGGGAAGGAGCCATGGGGCGGGGACGCCATAGGCTGAGGACCGGCCTTCCCCTTAACCCCTTCCCCGCCGGTCCCTCTGTGGCAGGCAATCCGCTCAGGCGAAGATTCACCGGCCGCGCGTCCCGATCCCGTACTCAGAATTTTTTACATGAAGAGTCGGGGAAATTATTACAGTGACACGAGACTGAGAAATGTTTACATGTCACAGCGAAGCGTTGTCATCGCATTCCCTCACGCAGCGTCCTCCATGACAGTCACCCGCACACCGAGATCCTTTTACTGACGGCAGACGCAAATGGCATCCCAAGTACGAGCGACCGTTTGGGAACTACCGAGGTCCCTTCATCGGGTACAACAACAAATGGCAATGATGATTCCTCGTCGCCATGGCGACCGCCGCGTGAAGCGATACGACGCGTTTCTGGCCTCTCCGTGGATGTCGCTCGCGTCGCCTCGTCTGATTTATTCTTCCGTCCGGCCGGAAAACGATGAAAAAACGTAAACAAGTAAATTCCTCCGATGGGTTTTATGTTTGTAAAGCGGATGGTGAGGTTAGGCCTCATTCACACAGCTTAGAGTCGGCACGTACAGATCCCTGCGGCATGCACCGCCGTATCGGGCCGCTCCCGGGAAGGACGGGTGCTCCGTGTGATTGTACGCAGCAGCCTGTTCTCCTCTATGGGACCGTACGCTCATCCGTGCGGGTGTCCGTACTCAGAAGCAGGCAGGGTGGATCTTCTCTGCGTCCGAACACGGACACCCGCACGCATGTGCAACTCGGGTGAGCGCACAGCGGCGTACGGCCGCATCCCCCCGTAGACAAGAACAGGCCGCCGCTTACAATCACACGCAGTACCTGTCCTTCCCGGAAGCGGCCCGATACAGCCGTGCACGCCGCAGGGATCTGTACGGGCCGACTCTAAAGGTGCCCACACACTGAACGATTCTCGTACGAGAATCGCGGGAAATCCCGCGATCGTACGAGAATCGTGCAGTGTGAATGAAGACGTGCGACCGTTTCTACTGCACGTCTTTTGTCTAAGGCTGGGAATTGGCATTCTCTCATTCTGCCACACGCCGTACGTCTCACCTTCAGAGCGCTCTTCTGCCCGCTGTCCCTGCGGTAACACTCCAGCACTTTGCCGTTGATGCCCAGGCCCAGCACCTGCTTGGATACCTTGTAGTCGTCCGTGATGGCATGGCGTTTTAGATCGAACTTGAAGGGCTGCGCCGGTGGGCACTCGCTGGCCGGCTCCGGCACGTTGGCATTCTCCTCCTCCATGGCAGTGCCCCCCCTCAAGGCTCTCTGGCTGCCGCAAGCCTCATGGCGAGAGCTCCTAGGCTGAAGTCCAGGTGACGGTGACACCAGCTTTCCACAGTGGATCGGCTCAGTAGGGAGGAGGAGGAGGGAAGGAGCCATGGGGCGGGGACGCCATAGGCTGAGGACCGGCCTTCCCCTTAACCCCTTCCCCGCCGGTCCCTCTGTGGCAGGCAATCCGCTCAGGCGAAGATTCACCGGCCGCGCGTCCCGATCCCGTACTCAGAATTTTTTACATGAAGAGTCGGGGAAATTATTACAGTGACACGAGACTGAGAAATGTTTACATGTCACAGCGAAGCGTTGTCATCGCATTCCCTCACGCAGCGTCCTCCATGACAGTCACCCGCACACCGAGATCCTTTTACTGACGGCAGACGCAAATGGCATCCCAAGTACGAGCGACCGTTTGGGAACTACCGAGGTCCCTTCATCGGGTACAACAACAAATGGCAATGATGATTCCTCGTCGCCATGGCGACCGCCGCGTGAAGCGATACGACGCGTTTCTGGCCTCTCCGTGGATGTCGCTCGCGTCGCCTCGTCTGATTTATTCTTCCGTCCGGCCGGAAAACGATGAAAAAACGTAAACAAGTAAATTCCTCCGATGGGTTTTATGTTTGTAAAGCGGATGGTGAGGTTAGGCCTCATTCACACAGCTTAGAGTCGGCACGTACAGATCCCTGCGGCATGCACCGCCGTATCGGGCCGCTCCCGGGAAGGACGGGTGCTCCGTGTGATTGTACGCAGCAGCCTGTTCTCCTCTATGGGACCGTACGCTCATCCGTGCGGGTGTCCGTACTCAGAAGCAGGCAGGGTGGATCTTCTCTGCGTCCGAACACGGACACCCGCACGCATGTGCAACTCGGGTGAGCGCACAGCGGCGTACGGCCGCATCCCCCCGTAGACAAGAACAGGCCGCCGCTTACAATCACACGCAGTACCTGTCCTTCCCGGAAGCGGCCCGATACAGCCGTGCACGCCGCAGGGATCTGTACGGGCCGACTCTAAAGGTGCCCACACACTGAACGATTCTCGTACGAGAATCGCGGGAAATCCCGCGATCGTACGAGAATCGTGCAGTGTGAATGAAGACGTGCGACCGTTTCTACTGCACGTCTTTTGTCTAAGGCTGGGCACACACCTTACAACCATCGCAAGACTTTTGTCTTGCGATGGTTGTAAGGTACTTTAAAAAAACGTACGATCTGCCCATCTTGCATAGGTAGATCGTACTTGCGACGATCGCAAGCCACGCCCCCTGAGGGGCGGGCTTCCGATGACCGCAATGCCGAATGGGCTTGCGCACACCGGCCCGTCGGGCTTTTATCTTACGAACATGCTACACAACCGCCGAACGTCGTACCATGCTCGGCGGGTTTGCAAACATGTTCGTAAGTTTAAAGTCGTGCGACCGTACAGCGGTAGAGGTCGCACGGCTTCCACACACCTTACGGTAATCGTACGATCGCGGGATTTCCCGCCATTATCGTACGATAATCGTAAGGTGTGTGGGGGCCTTAAGGAGCACGCTAGAAAACCAGCCGGGAATCTTACGATTTTCAGCTGGTTTGAACGGTGCTCGGGAGACAAACGCCGAACGGGCCGGTGTGCGCACGCTGCCCGTTCAGCATTGCGGTCATTGCAAGCCCGCCCCTCAGGGGGGCGTGGCTTACGATGATCGCAAGTACGATCTGCCTGTCCAAGATAGGCAGATCGTACGTTTTTTTAATTACTTTACAACCATCGCAGGACTAAGGTCTTGCGATGGTTGTAAAGTGTATGGCCACCTTTAGCTGTGTGAACGAGGCCTAACACTGGCCGGATACAGAAGGCAACACAAGTGATTCAAATGTATCTATTATTATTATTATACGGGATTTATAGAGCGCCAACAGTGTGCGCGGCGCTGTACAATATAAGGAAGACATCACAATTATAATACAATTCAAGACAAGATGGTAAGGAGGGCTCTGCCCCTGAGAGCTTACAATCTAAAAGGGGAGGGGCCAGTGATACATGAGGAGGGAGCTGTGTGGGGATGAATGGTTGAGCGGTTAGGTTGAGGTGGGATCGGCTTCCCTGAAGAGATGAGTCTGGAGGGATCGTCTAAAGGCAGTCAGTGTGGGAGATCTAAACCCAAAATATAAAACATTGCAGCTTCTCGGTCCTTCCATGCGACAGCCGCATTCATTTTCTTTTCTTCAGGTGGCACTTCCTTTATTTTCACTCGGTGATCCTGCCAGTAACACACTTCCTGTCCTAGACTGTCAACACTCACTCACTACACTGTGTCTATGGAAGAGCAGCGTTGTCACCCCAGGACAGGACACCCTCCCCCGCATAATCCTTACCACATAGCGGGACATGGTTCTGCAGTCCTCAGAGATAGACGGGGGGACAATGTAACTGATAAAGAGTGCGGCGCAGGCGGAGAGCACAGGAAGTGATCGGCTCGTGAGATTTCTGGCGGGATCAACAGGGATTTGTTTTGCACAGAGGTAATAAAACACTTCTAATGGACATTTAACAGACCGAAATGGAGCAAATAAGAGCAGATCGTATTTTTTTTTTTTTAAACAGGAAGAGAAGATCGGCGCCGGAGTTCCCATAAAGGCCTCATTCACACACAACGCAAGAGCAAAATGGTATATTGCGTATATACCCGTACATGCGCGTATATATACGCATATACGCACATGTGCGTATATGCGTGCACTATATGCAATCCCAGAATGCATTATTTCTTAATAGGAATTTCAATGAACTGTACGCACGTAAAATACGCAAATACGCTGCCCGGACGCATCTCGGTTCCATTCTGTTTCTGCGCATTTTTACGCTATGCAAATACACGGCACCATACGCAGCTGTGTGTACGGAGCCATTTATTTGCATATGCTGCATATGGTACAACACGTATACGCCTGTACACCCGTACAGGCCCGGATTCCCCACAAGGCCACCGAGGCCAGACCTTGGGGCAGCAGGGCGCAGAGGGGCGGCAGCGGCGGGGAGT